AAAAATAAATGAAATATTGGATCATTAGTTACATCAGTATCAATACCAATATGATTAGTATAAATATGATGAGTATTATGTTTATGTGACCACCAAGTTGGACTAAAACCATTGATAGAACCACTTAATATTCGACAAAACCATCGCATCCATATACCTCGTCCATGTGCATAATCATGTCCAATCCATCCAGCTTGTTGCATACCAAATCCAATAATAAGAATAGAAAGAAGATTATAATTCAAATAAAAATGAAAAAATGTACCAAATAAACATAAAATATAAACTGATAATGGATAAAATAATTCCCAAAATATTGATCGATTAAAATAACCATTATTGATTAAATTTTCTCGTAATTTTCGAAATGATATTGTAAGATTAGTTGATTCAATAATTGGTAACATAGATTGAATATGAAGAGATAAACATGGTTTTAAACAAGAAAGTTTTTTAAGAGCTTCTTTACTATGAAGAGAATAGAATATATCTGTAGCATCTCTACCATTTAAATTTTGAAGAATTTCTGAACCACCTGGATGTATATGTTGCCATTGAGTAAGATCATACCATTGTCCATTAATAAATAAATATAAACGATCAGTTATATTAACTGTTGGTTCTATTAAATTTGTAGATGTACAAATATGACGGTCTTTTTCACCATTGGGAGCCATAATTAGATTGTAATGATGTGTGAGTGATCTGGAACAAGGACAAGTTGACAATGTAATTATATAAAAAGAAAACTATCAAAGAGATGAAAAGAAATAGGGCAAGACAAGCTTCATAATAATAAGAAATATTCAACAAATAGAAAAAGAATAATAAAAAAAAAATCACAGCAAGATTTTTATTATTGTTGTTATACTGGTTCTTAACAAGCAAATATAACTCAAAATAGTATTCTCATTTGATTAAACATCATAGAGAAACAAGAATTTTATAATATTTGTATTCGCAAAGAATTCACATGAGAAATAATATTGTATATATATATATATATTTGCTTTAATTGAAGTATTTGAATCATCTGACTTCATGACGTCTATAATATATAAAAAAAATACTTCATGTTATTATCAACTTTTACTTTAGGTGCTTGAAAAAGAGAACATTTTCTCCTTGTCTACTGTAATATAATCAACGTTGTCTAATTTGACTTAAAATCAAAGAAATTTACTGAGACAAAAACTGATTACTTTTGTTGAAGATCTTAGTGATATGTATATTAATATTAACATTCGTGTCCAATTTGTTTTCGTTATCTGTAATTACTGTTTAACCCATTTTGTACTTTAGAAAAATATCTAGAAAATTTAACAAAAAAAAACAAAATAGATAAATATATCATATGTAATCGTTATGATAAACACTGACGGAATAATTTTACAACATAATACATTGGCATTGTCATCTTCTTTCTTTCTTTTACAACATCAACAGAGAATGAGATACTCTCTCTTTCTTTTTCTTATCTCCCTAATGGTCTAGATTATTATTAGAAGTGGCATGACGAGAGGAAAAAAATGTAGTATGCATGTCGACACCAACTATTCTCTTGTGATTCTTTTTTTTTTTCTTCTTCATTTTCTACTTCACATTACAAAAATAAGTAGGAAACTTAAGAGATTTGTAAACATGAATTTTCTTTCTTATAACACATATCATTTTCTGAATTATTCTATAATAAGCTAGAATAGATTTTGAAGATAGACATTGTTAATAAGTAAACGTGATTTATGTTGTTTTGAGTTGAACAATCAATAATTCTAAAAGTAATGATAATGAATTATTTTGTATAAGATCTCATGTAACTCAAAGCAAACAAAAAAAAACCACGACTAAACCGTTGACGTAATGTTCGGTATAATGTACTCTATATTGTCAATCATGCCAACAGTAATTTCATAAATAAATAAGAGACTATTCTACGACTGTCATTCGAACACAATACAATGACAAGTGTTCCGTAGTTAGTAATCTACTTCTGGTTGACTAGGAATAGTACGAAAGAATATATGACTACTCAGAATGATCACAAAGAAGAAAATGTTTCTTAAATTTGAAAGATACTTGATATGACTATTATTACTAATCTTAAACACTTTTAGCATTAAGTTACTTAGATCTTTGTATCGCGTGATATTTAAAAGATGTAAAATGATTTTCTCTATAAGACAAATATAATCGTACTTTCATTGAACTGAACATTATTCATACTAATAATAACCGTGCAAACAAAACAAGTTTCTGCTTCAGCAATATGTAATGTGCAAGTATTTAAAATATATCTAGATTTGTTCTAAATATAAATTCTATCTTAATTATTTATCACGATGAATGTGCATATAATCGCCTAGTTGATTCATGTGCATACATATGTCATAATGAATTTGAGTATTGATCTGTAGACTAAACAGGTATATTCAGAGTATACATTTGAAGACATTAGTCACTGATTGATGAAAAAAAAAACAGTAGTAGTATGTTATCGAACGAAGAGCATTATAATTATATCCGGATACTTCAAAGAAATATAAATTCTTATCTTTTATAACATTACACTAAAAAAAAACTTTCTACATTTTTCGATATGAGATACTCATTGCAATACGTGTTAAAAATCAAGTTTAAGTTTAGTCTTAAACATATCTGTCAGTTTTTTTTTCTTTAATTCGTCATCGACATGTCAATAAATCTCAAAGAGCCTGATGTTACTGTAGAAATAATCGTGTAAGTCGTATGTGTTTGGATGATACGAAATATTTTAAAGTCATTGTTCATATTCATGCATCAAGTTCTGGAGAAACACTATCAATTAAATTTAAATCAAAGATTACAGACAGTATGCTAGACTTATGGATGTGCAAGTGAAGGATAGAAGTTCTCCAGAGGAGAGAAGAGTAAAGGCAAGAATAATAGAATCAACAAAGTTATGATATAGATATATTATAATTCGATTGTTTGATCATCGTTAAATGATCATAGAATATAATAAGCCTACGTCAATAGGAAGTATAGTTCGATCATTATTTGATATACCAATCAATTCACATAAGAGAGCAAGAATATTGAGTACAAACTGAAAAATTCTTGAATCCTTAAAAGCCCGAGGAGGTTTTTCTTGCAACATAAAGAAGACAACCATAAAAACAGAGCTTATGGATCCTCAGTATGCTCATACTATAGCTAAAACGAAGCACTTCGATCTTCCTCTAGAGTGACACAATGTCCTGTAGCAGAAATCTTGGATCTTCCAAAGACCTGAACGAAAGGAATTTCGATCTGAACTTTCGCCCTTATTCAGTTTATATGATCGTTAAATTGTGCTGAAATTTTTAGTCAAAACGGACGTTTTGTTGTTGAAATATTGGACGCAGAAAGAAATCGGCAACATTTTGCAAAAAACTCACAAAATTCGGCTTCTCTTCAACATGCCGTATTTCCAAGAGTAAACAACAGTTGTTACTGAAAATTGTAGGGTAATCTAAATGGCATATCAGTTATTTATGAGCAAAATTTGAAGTCAAAATCCCATTGCTTCGATTTTTTCTTGAGGCAGAATATTTCATAGCAGGAACATTTTCTTCATGATTGTGTCTTGCGTTAGTGAGACGGTTTAAAATTTACGAGATAGTTTCATCAGATACTTTAGTACTATGTTTAATAATATCATTTAGAAAAAACCAAAGCGGCACGTCGTTTATATGATTAAAAAAAACTTCAGAAAAGAAAAGTGATGCTAAAAATATTACGAGCCGTAAAAGATCCATTGTTCCGTTTAAGAGTCATTTGAGAATTATATTTTCATCTCTGTATGTTTACTAAGGTCATGCCAGTTCAGAAAAATGTTGATTTTTGTATATAAGCTCTTGTAGTGGAATTTATTGAAATTATACTAATGTCTCTTGGAAGGAACATTCGGCTCTTAACGGTTAAAGAAGCGATGACAAAATATTTAATGAAAAAATTATGTTCGTCAGTACACAGCAACATAGTAGAGTGATTGACAAGAAGTTAAAGTAAAATGCTCGATATATTGACTATTACACATGAAAGCAATAATTCAATGTTCACCTTTATCTTAAGAAAAATTCAATTAGAATATGATCAGTTACAATGTTTTATTAAACTCAACAAGAAAATTAGATTTATTGGCCATAGAAATTTTATTAGTATGACTTAGTTCAGCAATACAAAAAACATTGAATCTATTAAAAAAAAAAGAATTCCATCGTCAGAATTTAAACAAGAAAAATAATTAAGATTTTCTAATCAATCAATATCAAATAGATCAAGTATAGGTATTTGACTTGAATTATTTGGAAAACTTCGTAAAATAAATTAATAAAACTACACTACTGTTGTTTGCGCTTAATGAGCATCGAACTTTATAAAGTATTTTCTCGATTATTCCGATTGGTTGCTGTAGATTAGAGGTGACACATGAATGAAATAGTTAAAGCTAACGTAGATAAGTTAAGGATGTTCTCTACTATTTGTGCAAACAAAACATAATATTATTCGAGCGAATCTATGGATAACTAGTCCGCGATGTTACTTTTCCTCCAGTCTTAGTTATTGCTCAAAAATTCCGTGGACCGAAAAATGACCGAATCGGCTCACTTCGTTCCGTATGTTGCTTCTATAGAAATTTGAACATACCTCAATTGTTCTTTAAAAGAGTACGTATGTCCTCAGTCATGAGCTGGCGTCATCTCTTTTGACAATATTTTCGTTGATCAAACTAAATAAACCAATCAATCATTTATCTCACTCTTCTTTCATGCATAAATTACGATCACGATTTCATCTTGCTCTAATCGGCGCAATAATCTTCATTGCTTCGTTCTCCACCATGTATTTGACGTTTTATTATTTTAGAGTGTCTATCAATTGAATTCATTGTTTGTTAGTTGCAAGAAGCATTTGGCATGAAAGTAGTGTTAACTGCCGTTACTGTTCTGTGTTGCCTTGCAATAGTGCTGACACAGAACATGCCATATATTCAAAGTGGAAGTTACAATGCCAAGACTAAAAAGATTGAAATAAATGTTCGCTATTCTGGAGGTTGCGCTAAACACAAATTTCGTCTAAAAGTCGATACGTGTCGAGAGAGCTATCCTGTTCAATGTGATGCCACATTGATTGATCTTACAACAGGCGATTTTTGCAAAGCACTCATTCATCGCAAGATCTCAATTAGCCTTCATGAAGCTGGTTTGGACAATAATTATTACAAAGGTGCTTCGATTCGAATTCGTGGCGCCGGTAAATCAAAAGTCCATATCACTCTTCCGCGTTAATGCCTGTCAAAAAAATCAGCCGTGTATAGATTGCTACTTATCTTTGTGTTCACGTTCTCTTTTGTTGAAATTTTTCATAACTACAATTAAGTACGAGTCAATATTAAAACATATTTACGATATTGTCGGAAGTAGTGTGAAAAATTTTTTCTTTTGGAAATCTTGGCATCCATTTTTAGCTCGATGTTTGAGGACAAAACTGAAGAGAAGATCAAAGTCCACGCCCATATGATCTCGAATAATTTCACCATTGTTAGGATAATCTCACAATTTGGGTATGAATGTGTTGGTTTTGAGTGTCAATTTGCTGTCGCAGTATGCGAGTGGAACAAATAGTAGATTTTTTGGCATATGAGTATGAGTGTAGTTGATTGAATAGGTAAAGAGCAGCACTACATAGCATGCTGGTCGACATTTCCATTCAGACCCTCGTCCATACCCTAAGAGAGTTGGAATCATGAGCGTTACTTGTGTTATAGAAAAGATTTTTCTGTTTTCTCGTAAAACCAATTATGCCTCGAGATAAATTTAAACAAGTCAATCACACTTAAAAGTCTTGTTTGGTAACTTTACATATTTTTGCAGATCAAATTCTCTTGAATGAGCTGTTCATTTACAGTTGTACAAACATTACATTTATAAACAATACATTATGTTTTTTTGTCTGATATTGAATGAAACAATGTTTAAATAAATTTCACTTAATATAATTATTATTAATATTGGTACGAACTTTTCACTTTATTTATTGATCATATTTTAATGATCCTTTTAAGAAAGATAGTTGGAATGAAAAGTATGAACATCGGAAACATGTTTTTGTTTGATGAGATCTTTTAGGTAACTTCCAACGAAAAAACAAATTTTGCATTGTCGACTGAATTCAAAATGATTTAAACATATATAATTTTGATAAGGAATGAATCATCAAATAAAATACGTTTTCATCAGTTTTTATGTTTATTGCTGTTTTTTGTTGCTTTGCATTTAATAAATAAGGTATTTATGTGCTGTAGTACTTGATTAACTCCGTATACTGTCACCTTAACGTTTTTTTATAAAGATCTATATCATTTTTCACCTGAACTTTTAAGTTATTGTTTTTCATGATATGACTTAACAAATAAAAAAATATATTATCATTGTTAATAAAAAAGACTTCTGAATTTCGCGAAATGTGAGAGACAAATTATTATCTGTTATCATTTGTTGACACAAAAAATAGAAAAATAACACACTAGTCAATGTCATCTACTTGCCAATGGTGATATCCAACTTTCTCTTTAGATAATAATCTTTCTTACTCGTCAGTTGATTATTCATAACAATGACAGTATATAATAAAATTCGTAAAAGAACTCTTGTTTGTTTGATACTAGCAATCTTGATTGATTTAGACATACACACACTTTTGATATTGTTCGATGGCAAAATTTTACGCAAAATTACAGGTAACATTCTGTTCTAGAAATATTTATTGAGAAAATCTAGATTAAATTGAGATCCAATAAATAAAATTTTATTAAATACTCATGATCTTTTCGTATCTTTTCGTTCGAATGCGCAGTAAATTTGGAAAAAACTTAAAAACGATACAATTCACTACCATTGAATTGAGATAGAAAACAAAAATATTTTCTTTTTTTTCATTACTAAAGTAAAGATCTTATTTAATTTTTACAGAACTCACTTACAAGCTATGCAAATAGGCCTAAAACAATTATAACAGAACAAAAACTCGGCGATTCTGCATACATCATACGTGGCACAGATAGAGAAAAACCAGCATGGCATTATATTCTTGTGCCTCTCAGTAAACTTGCTGATATAAAAGCTCAAGGTACAGGTTCAGATATCAATGTCACAGACTTTGGCTGCATAATTGCATACCTTGATAATAGCGGTAATATTCAGAAAACGTCTGATTGGGGTTTTGATCCACCCGAAATGGTTCAAGCATTGATTGAAACGAATTATGGTAAATAAAAGCATTTCTTTTCAATCTTTTTTTGCAAGGAGGACGAGCTAACCAAGACTCATCGATGCTAATAAGTAATGATAGTTAAGGTTCGCTGTATCATTTATTTCTTTTCATTGGCAAATAAAAGTGCTAGCCTTGAAATAAAACCCTTTTTCTACAAAAAAATTTTTAGTTTTTTTTGTTTTTTATTTTTATGTTTATTATGAATGTATAAATACTATCTATCTAATGAGAAGATTTTCGGCAGTGATACATTATTTTATATTTAAAGAAAGCTTTAAAAATCCTGCTTTCTGAAAAATTAGATTTTAAAAACAAAATTTTTTTCGGCTTGTTATTTTTACATCTTACGACCAATTTGACTCAAACTGTTCTATTGGTTGTTTTGATTCGATTTTAATGCATACTTCTTTTCTCTCTTGAAAAAAGTCTACCTATGAAATTTAGTAAATTTCTGAATGCCGTTCGACGAGTTTCGTCAATATGTTGAGTTTACTGAGTCTCAGGAAAAATATTTTTCAGAAAAAGGAAAACAACACCAAGTCAGATTTTATCAAGGGGATAAGTGCAGATGCCTAGCACCCAGCACCTGCTCAGCACCTACCAGCACCTGCCAGTACCTACCAGTGCCTACCGGCATCTACCGGCACCTACCAGCACCTACAGCACCTATTAGCACCTGCCAGCACCTGTTCGGCACCTATACCACATTCCACTATGAGCACCTACGGCACCTTCAGCACCTGCAACCATTGTTTCATTATCTTAAGTACTTAAGACAATAGAATAGTTGTTGAAGATGCTGAAAATGCCGTAGGTACCGTAGGTGCTCATAGAGGAATGTGGTATACGTGCTGTAGGTGCTGAGCAGATGCTGGGTGCTGGGTGTCTGCACTTTCCCCCTTGGATTTTATCCTAGTTGTTACGAAAAAATTCCAGTCCTAAAAACTGCTGTGTGGATTTTTGCAGTGGACCACAAAGCTTGAGATTATTTTGCAGTCTTTCATCTCTTATTTTTCCGAAACAAAAGTCTTGGGATACGTTGAATCTCAAATAATACTCGTTCTACGTATTATTATTTGTAAGTCCTAAAAGTTTTGAAAAACTTGTCAATTCGTCCTTTATAACCTCGGAAAAGGGGAATTCTGTTCAAAAGTTTACCATCTGTATAATCCTGTACGAATACAATAATCAGTCACGTATCATTCAAGCATGCTTTTGGAAGAAAACGACTCTTTTACTTTCCAAGGTAGTTCGACTATTTTTTTAAGCGTTCTGATTTATATACAAATGAAAAGGGTGATATAAAATTTGCATGATAATTCAGCTATTGTGTTACATAGGATGACAAAATAAAAATCTTCAGAATTGATTTGAACCGAGCTTGAAAAATCTGTTGAGTAAGAATAACAGAACTAAGTCATGCATGTTAGAGGTTCAATCTCAATAAATCTAATAGTTTATTTTCGACAGAACACCTTTATTGACTGTATGACAATAAAGTTTGTCTATTTTCTATGATATATTACGTAGATTTAGCATCTGTTGATGAAACCATTAGTTTGAATTATGAGGAAGATGATATTCGATTATGTACAATGCAACGTGCTATATCAGAACAAAAGCTAGGCTTCTTTTCATGCTATCATCGAAAAGAACGTTTTCATTATGTCAAATTTTATGGTGATTGGAAATCAAGTTTGGCGCATCGAGCAGGCATCAAAAATTTTGATCGGATCATTGCACTAAACGGTATTAATATTGAAAAAGATACACTATATCAAGTTGACAAACGTTTCAACATTAATCGACATCTCCCAGTTCAAATGCTTGTCTGTAGTCCAGCGACGTACATTCACTACAGATCTACAGGAAAACTATTGCAAAGTGATCTTTCAACTGTCCAACATTTGAAACCTATATATGCTACATCAAGTAATTAACATACATCTAACCGTCTTTTGTAGCCTAATTATTACTTCAATGATTGATTTAATTGTAGCATCGAACTCTAATACAGATACATCAGGGATTTCTATTTATCATGAAAGTTTTTGTGCTGTACAGTGGGAAAACAGCAAGATAGTTTCTACAGTACCTCAATCAGCGATTTTCAAAGCTCCTGAATTTACTAGTGTAAACGATATCTGTTTTATCGAAACAGAGGCACATTATCAGAAAGGACGAATTATTTTTAAAGGTTTGTTATTATACATGAACATTACTTAAAAAGAATTTCATTCATTGTCAGGTTCACGTAATGATTGTGAAAAGTTGTCAACGAATTCGGTTAAATTAGTAATTGGTAAGGTTTTCAATATTGTGCCTGATTTCTACATAAAAAAAAACACGAAATCTTTTAGATTCACCTAGAGATCGTAGTGCTGGTTTTGTTGATGACAAGTCTATATCTTCATTAGATGAAAACACAAGATTATCTTCACAAAAATCATCTCGGGTATATCTTATATGAAAGAGTTAATTGTTTCCGAAGGACTCTATAGATTCATATTGAAATTTAACTGTACAATCGTAGACTAATAGAATAAAAATCGAATTCATATTTCATAGAATCAGCGTTCGAATAACAGATATTCGAATAAGACATTTATGTTTTATTTTAGAAGCTGAAGACAGATAGAAAGCAAGTGACATTTACTATTCACAATACAAATAACGATACCAAAGTGTTGCAGAATACGGATGATGTCCAATATACTCAAGACCGTAAGTGAAACTTGTTTTCCTATTATCAGCAAATGATCGAAACCTTTAAATAAAAAAAAAATGAAAGGATCTTCAACTAATAAACTTTTCACTCTAAAGTGTATTATTAAATGAAGATAGCGTCTAAAACTAAGATAAAAACGATATTGAACATTCTATTATTTAAATATTTCGATAATATCATCAAGCTTTAGAAAAATTATTTCCAAATCACTAGAATAGATCAGAATCACTTTTTAAAAATAAAGATTTCATAGTATGGCTACATTTTATCTTATTATTGATCTAATTAATTTCACTCTCTCAAATATATTTTAGATGCATGTACAACATTGGAACAACTTCCAAACGAATTACTTTTCTATTTATTCACTTTGATTGACATTCAACATTTATATAGTGCATTTTGGGGACTCAATTCACGATTGAACAATATTTTTCTAACCTGTCAAAATCTATCTCTTACTTTCGATGAAAATGTCAATCCATTATTGATGAAATTATATTCTCCTTACGTAAATCGATTAATAATTCAAACATTCATCGATTGTGATTTAAGTCAATTTTCTAATTTACGTATATTAATATTATGTAATAGCAACTCAAAATATCTGCAACAGATTCAATCGAAAATTATTCCTAATCTAACTCATCTATCTTTTTTGTTAGGATCTGAGTTCACTCTACCACGGCAATTAATTTGTGATGTGTTCTCCAATAAATTTCCATCTCTTCGTTATGTTAATATGAGTTGTATCGATGAGTCCACCTATAATTTATGGACTACATCACCTTCTCTTCAATATGTATCAATTCTTTCTTGTAAACTAATGTCTATTCCATCCATTCTTGCTGCATGTCCTAATCTTCATCATCTTCAAGTTCGTCTTTTGTATAACAATGATAATATTATCACATTGTCTTCGCCAGTTAATCATTCACTTCGACGACTAACTCTTTGGAGTAATTATACTGAACTCACTTTCAATGATATTGACAATATTCTTACTTATACACCCAACCTTGAACATTTGTATTTGCAAACAGTATATCATATGCCGTTTATCCATTTAGCAAATGGTCTGATCAATCGACTGCATCATTTATCTCGATTTGATTGTTATATTAGAGAAATATTGCCTAGAGATAATCCAATTGGTAATTTAACAAGTATACATCAAATGCATCCTTGTTTCGATCGAATTAAATGTGTAAAAGAAAATGACAAAGTGCGAATATTTGCTACTGAGTAGATTCTTAATATTAAGAACTAAGAAAAGTAATTTTCAATAATAGTTTCATTGATATTTCTCTCATTCATCCACTACGACATTTTTCCCCAACGTTCGTTTTTATTTTAATAAATGATTATTATTTTCTATTGTTTATTTTTTCCATAAAACGACACTATTTGTTCTTTGATGCACTATAAAAATATGATCAAATAGTTTATTGTTGTTTTCAGTAATATAGAGACTTACAATAAGTATTTATGAATTAGAAGATAAAGTACGTTTCGTCTATAATCATTATCGTTATTATAACAGTAAACTAGTTAAAAAGAAGTCTACCTCGATGACATCATTAAAATCTAATTAAAAAACCATTGCAGTTTTATTGAGACAAAGGATAATTTGTCATCGAATTATTCTCGAAGAAATTCCTTCTAATCTATTGAGTTTATTAGAAATATCTAGAACTGATCAACATCTAACAACGATTTTTTGATCACTTATAGCATGTCAAATCTAAACATAGTTGAAAAAAATAAAGTCATTGATAAATTAGAAGACCCGATTTTCGTACAATGCATATTGTTAGTAAACAAGTTTATTTTATTGATTTCACACTGCGTGAAACGTGAAAGAAGCAGATATTATTCTGTGAAAAGAGAGAGACCATCGTTAGTAAGAAGTAGTCTTAGAACAATATAGTCAATGCGTATACTAACATCTGAGGGTGTGGCTGTTGGTGTGGGTATGTAAATGTGCATGAATGTCTGTAGTCAGCTTAGTCTCACCCTCACCCTTAGTTTTTAGTGCAGTAGGATTTCGTTGTTGAGGCGTTTTCTTTCAAGAAACAAATGTTGATGAGTGTAAAGTGTGGATGTAGATTTACTGTGAATACAATCCACCACCCCACAGTCGTACCCCCTCTCCCCATTCTTACTCACAGCTTTCCTCGAAACTCCATAGAAAATGCATCACATTATGGTGTACTTATTGAAGATCAATATGATGCTAGTTTTATTTCTATTGATTTAAATCATCGGATATTCTATTGAATGGATGAATCTACATCAAAAATTTATCGTACACCAATTTCAATATGAACAGCACATCCTTAAACACTTCTACGCGAAGATACGAATCATTTAAAAATTCTTAATAGTATTGCTATTGATTGGATTGGTCAAAATCTTTATGTTGCTGATCTTATTCATGATTGTACATGAATTTTAAAAAGTAGTAGACGTTAGAATCCAAATGAACGTACTGTTGCTGTCGACTCAACTTATATGAATGATGAAAATCGTACAATATTAAAATTACAACTGTCTTTATTGGTAAGAATTGATCATCAATTAAAGCAAAACTCAATCGAGTTTTAGACAAACAAAAAATTAGTAAATAGGAAAAAAATAAAAATTAATTGTACTTCTTTTCGGTATCATATCCATGCGCAATAGCTAACTGTTCACATTTATGTATTTTAAAACCATAAAATCAATATGAATGTTGATACCCATCGAATACTATTTTTACTGGTAGTTAATTGACGAGAACAACCAGGTGAACAATGTGATCTTGATACGGTTTATTTTTCAGGCGTCAATCAATTAGATAAAATACTTAGGGTATATCAAAATTAGTATAAATGAATTGGAAAAAATTCATCAAATACCACTTTGCATCATATGATTCATTTCGTTTATGTCTTTCTAGTGTTTGTCTTTGATAACTTCCATCATAAAATAAATTATACACAAGTAATACCATCTAGAATAAAAAGACAAGAGAATTTCCAAAAATACCTTGTTGTTGTTATCTTTCAAAGTGACCTTTTGCATAACATACATGCGATATTCTAAATTTCATCACCTATATAAATAACTAATTGTAAAGCACAAATAGTTGTTATAAAATGTGTTCACTTTTATTTATTTTTCTTTGTAACATATTTCTAAATCAGGCAACAAATTTTCAATATGACTTTGAAACAATTTGCAATGATTTTTATATTGATGATGATTAGGGTTTAACAGATGATCTTCATCCTTTTCCTATCGATCATGATTATACATTACAGACAAATGTTGGTCATTCTGTTTTCTACAATCCAAAAAATATTCGGTCATTTGGAACAGCTGAAATAAGAACAAGAACTTTGTTACAACTTTCAACTGACCGACCTAAATGTTTTCGAATGTATCGCTCTTAGAAATTTTTCATTCAATATTCAACTTGCACAAGATGATGGTAAAGAATTGATACGTATTCCAGCTTCGATTACAGGTAAAGATCCGCCAATTAATGATTAGACATTGGTCAATGTAATATTACCAAATGAGAAAATTCAAGTGTCCATACAATTAAATTTTATAGAAGGACTTATAACATTTAATGATATTGCTGTCGATTATTGTGATAGACCACGTTCTTTACCATCAAAAGTTTTATGTGCTTGTGATTTTGAATCGTCTTGTTCAAATGATTTCTAGTCATTACCTCAATATCAATTTACTTCTCAAGAATCATATTGTTTAAATTCTCAAGTTTATAGTTATGGAACAGCATCCTTTGGCGATTTAATGGTATATTCATGAAATTTAGATGAATCGAAAACAGTTCATATGTTATGACCAAACCAAAGCTCTGGTCCACAAACGTAAATAATATTCAAGGGACAATATGATTATAATTTGTTTTCTTTAATTGTAGGTATGACAGTGGTTAGTCATAAGCATTGGCAACACACTAAGGAATCTAAAGTGAGCATGAATAGAATATGAAAATCATCAATACAGTTCTTTTCGCCATTTTAACAGAAGGTAATCCACTGTTTTATTCAGCGTGTAGTCGATGAATGACGCTCCTTCTGAGGTATTTATGGAGCTCACCTCTATTGTAGCACACATTATGCGTCTATGCTCCGTAAAATAGATGCTTGCTTTCAAGAAATTTTAAATCACCTCTTCCGAAGAAAAAATCAAGATAAAACCAGCAGGTAATTGATATTATAATAAAACAAATTTATTAAAAATATTTCTGAAATTTTTTTTTGTTAATACCAGTGAGTCTTTAGAAACGTGTTGTCCATAAATTGGACTCAGAATATATTGAATTGTCTATAAAACAGTATCTTTCCTATTTATCAAGAATGAGTTTTAAGTAAAAACACTGTCATTTTGAAGATTTTCCAATTGATATGCTTATAAATATTTATTTTATGAATTAAAATGGCTTTATGTTTGTACCAAGAAAATAGTTTGAAACACAAAAGTTTCTGTAGTCTAAGTTCTTTGATGTACTCTATAACCTAGACCGATCAAAAAGAATTTTGAGTAAAATTTTTTACAAAGTTGATAACCAACAATTGAATAGATTTCAGTAAGAAGATGATTTATCAATTGAACACGCTCACTCATTAGTACAGATACGTCTTCAAAGAAAAAAGCTTTGTTTGAACACAAATTCTGATGAAAGAAAAAGATGATTTTTGACTTTTTGAAATTGTTCAACTGAAATTCTTTGTTAAGCACTTGAATTTTCACAAAAAAAAAGATCAAATCCGCATACGTTTTCTGCAACTAGTATACTGAAAGAAAAGCAATTGAACACAAATATGATCTCAATTCATTTGTATTCAACTGATGCAAATGTTCTTTTTTTTCTACCAAATGAAATTCATCATCTAACTAAAGCCAAGTAAAAGTAATCATCAGATAACGCAATTGTTTTTTATATGCTAGAATTTGGGGTATCATCAATCTACCTATTGATAATTATTCATTTCTCTTTCGTGTGAATAGTCCAAAGAATGTTCAACGTTCATTTGCTCTCGATAACATTGCTATTAATTTATGTGATGATCCTCCTACTGAATTAACTATGTGTGATATGATTAACAAGCATGACGATTCTTCATCTATGTTTAATTTTACTGTAGTGACTGGTAATCGAGAATTTGGTTCAACTCGAGATCATACTTCTACTTCATCATCAGGTAGCTTTCTCTATTAGAATCGGATAGTACCATTTTTTTTTGCATACGATTTTGGTAGAATATATCAATTGAAAACAATTGAACAAAGTTTAGGTATGTGTGTTGAGTTTTTGTTATTACATCAAATCATTAGCACTTAACACGAATGGAACATACGCAATCATGAGTGTTAGTAAATGTTATAGTAGAATAATATGGGAGCTGTCATTAAATGATAGTCACGGTTGGTAAACAGTTATTATACCTTTAGCAATCGATGCTTGTTAAATAAAATTTGATTTTTATGTAGTTCAACGTTAATATATACCTATATCTATTGCTTTTGATGATATTGTGATTGATGAATGTAATTCTCCTATTCCGACTACTACGAGAAGTACATTAACATTAACAACAACTCTTAGTAGTAGTTCGACAACAGAAATAACTTTAACAATCTCAACATCAACTTCTACTACAACAGCTCGAAATAATTCTTATCGATGATTTTCTTTAAATGGATACAGTTTAATAATTTTCTATATTCTATATCAAATTATCCGGAGACTTTTTTACTGAAGCAAAATCAGGTTTGTTTTTTTTAATTTTTAATATAATTTTTTTCACTTATGTAACTCTGTTATAATGAATTTTATTTGACTATTTGAATCTTTTTTTTTGATCTCTACCAACTAGCACGATTTCGAATGCAGATGATTCTTTTATAGGTATATCTGTTTATTGTAGAAACAATTTTTTTTCATGTTGTCCTATTGATTTGTTAATCCGAGCATTGATGGTGATCAAGACAGAACGAAGTTCAAAGATTAAGTTAGTTTATCGGCGAACTCTTGTCTATTGATACGAGTAATAGGTTATGTTTGACCCAATGCGATTACGCTTAAAAGAATGTGAATGTAGGATAAAGTACAAAGTGACACACCCACATCGCTACATCTCAATTGCATAGTATTCATGATATACTTTCACTTAATGAAGCTGAATAATTAATTCGAAAATTTGTACGCCCAATAACTGAAGCATTCAAACTTATTAAGTAAAATATTCAACTTGCCAAACAAGACAAACATAATGTTCTGAAAAGTCCACAATCAACCTCAAAAGGTATACTACACAATAATTGCGTTATTGTGAAATTGTCAAGTCCACGAACAGTATGTCGTGGAAAGTATTGTTGTCGACTTAGTAATGTTAATAATGAACAAAAAGTCGGATGTACATCTAAGTATTATGATAGATATTATTTGGATAGTGTTGTACAAGAAGTTATTGAGGATATAAGAATATTTCATTGTGAAGTAATCAACTATAGGACAGATAAAATATTTTTGTTCGTACAGTAAAATCAATTATAATAATCCTTCTACGGTAAAAGCACATGTAGTCAAACAGTCAGAAACAAATTTCATATATTATAGTTTTGACAAAATAAAGTATCCGTTCTTCATCAATATTGACGAAAGTCTCTATGACATTCGCAAATGTTTGTAGAACAAAACGAGTGTAACATACAGGTGAGAATCATGACTATTATTGATTAAATATATCTTACTTCTTGCTCATAATGTGTTTGAATATGATCGATCATCTCCTTCCATAAACAAACTAGCGCTTGAGTTGAAAAAAAGCTAACAGAATATGGTATCCAAAACGAAATAAGAAGAACGAAGACAAAAGAAAGTGAGCATAAAATCAATTTAAAATATTCCATAGAGAGTAACTTAATTGCAAATTGATAATGAACGTAAAAATGAAACTAATAATTCTGTTTGTGAAATGTTATTTCTGATGGTTTATCATGTTTTACAATAATAAGTTGGTTCGTTAATTTGATAAGCAGCAGACATTGGTGTTCCCGTCAAGAATCTTTTTCTTAAATTCAACGAATTAGCAGTCACTAATAAGATTAGATTCCATCACCCTGTTTTCATAATATTCCTTCAAAATACTATCAAATTTTATAGGATTTTGATAAGATTCAATAAGAATCTGATAATATCTGATTGTTAGTTTGATTCTATTGAATAGAGAATATGTTATGGGATGAAATTATCAGATAGACATTATAGGGTAATGAATAATAGAAAAAGAAAATATATTACAAAGGAGAAAAATTTTATAAAGAAACGCATAGAATAGAAAAGGGAGAGTAAAGAGACTAAAGTTAGTATATTGAAAGGTAGAATTCGTCGATCTGAGGAGTCATTTCAAGCACTCACACCCTTGCGAGTTGGAAAATCTATGATTTGCCCAACTCTACTACTGCTAGGCTCATCGGGTTTGGTTCTAAAAATTTTTTGTAGACTAGTTTCGGATTTGATGGCCTCTACCCACTGCACATTTCTCTTATGCTGACCTCATCTTTGTGCAATACTCATACGAATAAAACATTAATATCAATATCAACCAAGCTAAATGATGTTCATATCATGTAACAATAAAATAAATGATATACAATAGTATGAATAAAAATCACTTATTATAGCTACAAATACACAAATAAATATTGCAATACGAAAAACAAAGACTAGTGTAATAAATTATTAGAAAAAAAACCTGATGAAGAGCTTTAAATATATTCGAATAGACTGAGTCAATAAGAGCAAAAATTGACCGATAGACTTTTAAAAGATGCATCATTATGCACGTGAGATATATATTTTAATTAATCTGACCTTTGATTAGAGTTCGATGATTCCTAAGAAACGTAGAATAAATATTAATGTTTCCACATTTTTTTGAAAATGCTGTATTTTTGAAAGTAAATATAGTGAAGATAGAAAGTGTGCACTTGACAAGAAATCTGTGTATGTGAGTAACATACATTTCTCAAGAATTCCATTATATAATTATTTTTTTTCCATTAATTTAATACATATCATGAATTGTTTGTCTTCCATATTAAAGCTGAATGGATGATGATAATGTATCGTTTAGTGTTTCTTACTAATAAAATAAAATTCTATTGAACTCAAAAACAAATTAATAAGTGCATTTTATTTGATATAAGCAAACACATGCAGGCTGGTACGATATAAAAATAAAAAAGAAGTTGTTTGATATGTAAGAAATGAATGTTTTTTCTGTGTTTTGTTTATGTTATAATAAAACTGATAAGAGAGTAATGACCTTGTATTATAATAAAAGATCGGATGGTTTCATACGGATGTGGTATCTACAACTGTCAACTAAATCAAACGTTCGATGTCAAATGAGTGACATAATTCAACGATAGACTACATCAAAACAAGGACGAGTACTTTTGGTAACATTCAAATATTTCTATTATAATGCCTATGCAATTTGAATTAAATCTATATCTAGTCGACTTGTTTTAGATTGTACATATGAATATTCTGTTTACTAGAACCCAAACGTACATCCTTTCGAAACAAGTAGGATGTCAAGCATGAAAAGTGAAAATGTTGAAATGGTAAATCATAAAAAGAAACGTTGCAATACATTATGTCAACGGATACACATCAACATTGAAGAAGTAGAAGAACAAATATGAATCATATACAAGTCTATTCGTTCTTTTACCCTATCAATCAGCAATCTGTCTGCACATGCATATATATAATTATTTTTCTTTGTGTAGTCATGACCTTGATTATTATTTCTCTTGGTATTCGTTGAGTTTTTTCTCTTCTGATCTGCATATACATGCAAAATAGAGTAAAAACTAGAAGTGTCTTGATGTCCCCACTATTGGAAGAAAGAGTTCAAGGACTGTTTTTCTAGAATATGTAAGCAAAAAAACCAATAAAATACTAAAATCCATTGAGATAAAAACAGAAATTCTTCAAAATTTTGGACATCACGAGTTGTTTTTCAAGAATCCTTCCTTTAAAATACATTCAACTGCATTCATTAATGTAAAAATTGATGTTCAAGAACACTTACAAGCATTGTTTCTCTTGCTCGCTAAAGATATGAAATATAAAAATTAAAGTCATTATTTTGTATCTACTTTACATTTTTTTCTCAATGTACTTGAATTGAAAATATAACAAATTTTATTATATCGATGTTTTTCTTTCAATGTTTTGCTCTTCGATATATACGTTTTTATGTTTGTTGATCAATAAAAAATAATAATATACATGTTGTGCTTATTCATGCACATAATTGGTAAAATAATTGTTTCATGTCTATTTTCAAGGTTACATTGATAACAGTTTTGAGTACCTATGAATAGTTGTTTATGTTTGTATGAGGCGGTACAATCGCCAACGACTACATAATTTTTACAAGGAAAGAACGCAAAAAGAAAATCGATTGAGTTCTATATAAATACACTAGGCATGTATTCATTTCTTCATAACATTTGATAAAAGCAAAAATCAAGATGGCTGATTCTCCATTTAATTATAAGTCAGTAACGAATACAGATATGGAATTGTTCAACAAGGTAAATCAATATATTTATTTTCTTTTATGGATTTTCTCTGTATTGGTACATCAACTTTTTTAGTATAAGAATTCTATTAATAGTGAAGTTCGAAAAAAACATCCATCAGTTCCAGCTAATTTTGAGCTGAAACCAGTGCGTGTTCGTCATATCGAAGCCTGTGGCACGATTCATGATTATAAGGTATAAAATACAAATCATTCAAATATCGTATTAATCACTATCCTGTTCATATTTTAGATCGCTCTACCTGATAACAAATTTGTCAAAATTTCCTTTCTTACAGGCGCATTGCAAATGTACCCGCCAGGTGTAAAACCACCTGAACACCCACCGGAACCCACCATCTCGGTTGACGATCAATTAACATCAACAGCTGATGAATAATCTGCTTTTTTTTTTATTCATTATTATCTTTTCATAGACTTTTGTAACTGAACATCATTGACTTTATGTCATTTTTTATGTTGCGACTTAAACTTATCGTAGATTTTGCATAATAATGTGGAAAAGCGTGAGTTCCTAGAATTTCATTAGTTATCAAATAAATATAAAAAAAAAGAAATCTTTCATCAGATTGAATTGACAAACTATCAAACTGAAACGAACATTGCTACGTTGTGACTCAATGACAAATTTGCATTTCTCGAACAATATTATAAATTAAACATTAAGTACCATAATTAGAATATATTATGCGACTTCGAATATCGTGTTTCTTGAAAATTTATTTAGAGCAACGAAAGAAGGCACAAGCAGCATGATTTCAGATTGTAAGATTTACAAAATTTTTGAAATATTCGAAGAGATGGAATGAGTGAATCTCTGAAACAGTATCATGTTAAGATTAGCCATGTGAGAGCTTCTTCACTATTATGAGATCCTGTATGTTCATAAACTAATAGTTGAAAGGTGTCCTCATACGGTATCATTAAGAATGAGTCTCATAAAGTACATTAGTGATGGAGAAATTTTGTCATAATTTTAATGTCTGAGGAAGTATCTCAATCAGACATAAAATATCACAATTTTTAAACTTAAATAACTTACCAATGTCATATCAAATTGAATTAAATTTGAAATGGAATAAAACAAGAGAGTTAATATAAGCATGTATTTGTACTGATATAGATAATACTGAAGTGATGAAGTACCTCAATCAAGAGAATATCGATGAAGTTACTCTCCAGTTTGTCATAGCATATATTTCTCATTTGTTCTATATTGGCGTTTTGCTTCTTGTAGACTAATTCGCATTCGAAATACATCAGTTGAATTAATCCATAATAGGTAGTGAGATTTTTCAGAATCTTTTTAAGACTGTTAAAAATCTCGAAGAACATAATTTCAGGTCAAAATGGATTAATTCGAACTTTTTCGAAACCCCAGTGGATTGAAAATTTCGAGAAACGCGTACTACTATCTATTTATAGATCGATCGATACTTGTGATTATTTCCGCGTAAGATAGTAGATACCAATTCAAATTAATGTTCAACAGGTTACTTTTATAAAGCTATGAAAAGTGTTCTAAAATATGTGTTATTATGGAAATTTTTCAAACGCATCATGAGACTGTATACTTGTTATAGACACATGTTTCCATAGAGATATGTCAGTCATCATTCAATTTGAATATTTGGGCGAAAGATTGATGTAAAATATATCAAAATCGTATAAAAGTTGAATCTCATAAAAAATAAAGTTTTTACGCAATCTGTTTGAATTGCACGAAAACTAGAATGTTCTATTGAGCTTGACAGTATGAAAATTCATTAAAAACATTTTCCACATATAAGACAATGTTGCTCATTTGTGATCACCTGTTTTATTTTCACTGCGCTACGAAAATAGAACGATGTATAGTAAGCAAATATGTAAAAACTGACAATTGTCGATTTACTAGCACTAAGACTTTTTTAAACAAGTAATTTTGCGAAACTCATTATGAAACTAGTTACTACAAGTTTCTATGTAAAAATTTTCTGCTTTCGTTACCTTTTTCAGATATCTTACGCAAATATTTCAATATGCTTGTGAATACAGAAGAACAAATACTGAAAGTTATTTCTATTCAACGAAAATGAACGATCATCGATACAAAAACGATAGAAATCGTTCTTTCGACTCGCAAAGATATGCGAAAGTATGGTATGAGTATTTTGACATACAGTAAAAGGTGAATCAGTCAGAACAAGATATAAAAACAATATCGAAGACAATTTTAACGAAAAGAAATTGATGAGCGAAAATAACTCACAATAACACAGAAATGATAGAATTCGAAAGAAGAGCATATAGCCTATCGAAGAATATAGAAAATGTCTGAAATGAATAGCTAGATTGATACTTGTTTGCTTCAATCTATTCTGATTTTCTACAGAGATTTCTGTCACGTTAAAATTTGCTGTGGTCATTAAAATGATTGCATGTGTGTTTCCACATGTTAGCCTCATCTAAAGTTGCGCTGACAAACTTTTGTAAATGCTATATCATCGTTTAGCTCTAGTATTAGGCGAAGAGTACATTTAAAACTAATATATCGATAAAAATTAAAATTGAATCCATCCAATTTCTTTTAGCTCGTTTAACAATATGGATATGACATTAAAAGTTTTATTTACTATATTATTTATGTTGAAAATCTCTGAAGTATACACACAAAGAACAGATGACTGGGCAGGAGACGATTATGCTGATAATGATGACTCGGCTGGTGACCAAAGAACAGATCCTACCTATGGTGGTAACTGTGGAATTAGGAAAAATTGTCCTTCCTGTCCATGTGGTTTAACCGCAAGCAAACAAGGTCCAAAAGAAGTGGTGCTAACAATTCACTAAATGAAATCAAGCTTGCTGTATATGTATTGTTAACCACGAATATCAACTGGTAATGGAAATGCAATGGACTGCAATGAACCTAAGATAAAAAAGGGTAAGATTATAAAAAATGGCATATTTGACATTGGCTTATGACAAATTAATCAAGTCAATTTCAAGTTATGTAACAATGACAAAATACTATGTAATGTTACAGAAAACTTGAACTGTGCTATAGCAGTGTGGAAAGACCAAGGCAAAAGAAGCTTTCATCCATGAAATAGCTACTTAAAATGTCATACTTGGAAACAATACTCATGAACTCAATATGATATCAATAAAGAACTCGTACTCATTTATACTCAATGTTAATCATTGCACTTTTACTTATTTTCAAAAAAAAAGTTTCATTCATTTTAAAATAAATGCTTCGGTCTTATCATAAATTCGAAACTTGAGGTCAAACTAACTGCCTAATGTACCATCGGTTTTTCTGTTTGGTAGAATATGTTCTGAACATTTTCCCTTTGAGGGCATAGAATAGAGTGTGGATTTGGGCGTTGTTGTTCTTGTCCTTTACACCCATATCTTGTCTTTAATACTTCTGGTAACGAATAGATTGATGTTGTTACAGTTTAAGAACGTATATTTGTTTATTTAGTTTGATATTTGTCTTTATGGTTAAAGTTGGTTCTAGCTAATACACAGATGCGATTTGGTGTGTATGATTAAGATCACAGCTGCAAACACGGATGAGAACGTGTGTGTTGTGTAGAAGTGCACTAATTTTTCTATATTTCATAGCGTCAAAATCAGTTGGACTAATCTGTTCATAATCGAAAGTCATTAATTTCCAATAATCAAATCCTTCTCTCAATAGTGAAACAAGACCTAAGCCAAATTTGTCGTCCTTGTCAAATATAGAGCCTAATCTCAATATTTTTAGGTCTACTTGAGACGGTTTTTGATCATATTTTTTTTTTGTAAATTCTCATATGAACTTGTCTTTCATGAATTATCAGTATCTTCACTACACCACATTTTTCGTTGCAATTCTATTAGCATTCGGCTCTGAAAAATAGTAAAATATCTATTTATCTATACAACTATGTCTGTTTTTTTTTATTATTTACATGGGATTTTTACTTTAACATGATTCATTCCAGCATAACTTATTTTATCTGTCTTTGTTTTTTTTTATTATCATCAAATTTTGCGTCAATGTGTTGCAATTCATGAACAAAATCGATGATAACAAATGATTCATGTTGTCTTTCGCAAGAAGAAAGAAAGTCAGTCACTCGTGACGAGAAAGGCAAGAATATATGCGTCATATCTGACGCACGAGCGAAACGGAAGATGGCCAAAGAAGAAACTCAACAATAACGAAACAATCTTTCGTTGATCCCATACAACACATAGCATAGTATTCTATTCGAATCTATTTGTTGAATAATTCATTCTATTGGAGGCCACGAAGAAAGAGACATGAAATTGGAGTCATTGGCCAACGAGTTATTATGCGATGTATGTGAATTTTTTACCATCCCACCATCGTCTTCGTGCCTTTCAAAGCTCTTCTCATTCTCCATTTACACATTCACGGTTTAGATATTTGATCAATGTCTAAACGTGACTTCGATATCTTGTATCAAAAATATCTTTCATTGATTAATGATTGAATCATT